AGAGAGAGAGAGAGAGAGAGAGAGAGAGAGAGAGAGAGAGAGAGAGAGACAGACAGAGAGAGACAGAGAGAGAATGAGAGAGAATAGTGTTAGTCCTGACCTTAGAGTACTGTTAGGAATGTGAGAGCTCTAAAGTGTACAACTTGGAAAGTCAAAGTAGCACAAATAATGTTTAAAGAGTTCTGACAATAACTATGGATGTAGCACCAAATACAGGCTTCCACGCCTCACCTCAAGTAAGTTACTTACACAACTTGTCGTTTTCACCAGAAGTTACAAATTCACCACCATTTGTCTTTAACCACCTCAAAAAGATCCCCTGGATGCTTTGCCTAAGATTCAAGTGTGAGACAGCTATAGCAACCAGAAGAAGACTTAATATCAAGAACACTAAATTTGCTTGAATAACGAGTTAGAAAAACAACTAAGATAATGGTTCGGTAAAAGGGATACAAACCCTCCAAAGATTTTCAAAAACAAAACAAAAATCTAACTTCCTGTTCCAAAGGCAGCTATAATGAAAACTCTTCACACCCACTGCATCCAACTCCATCTACAAGAGTGTCAGAACCGGCATGCAAAGGGTGAGTTTTATTTCCATAGATTTTTTAAATTGCTGTTCAGAAGTTGTCTAGCAAGACGGCATATTTCTACCAGAATTCCTCAGGGGCGCTGATCCTCACTAGAACGTAGAGGAGAAGCGGTCTCAAATTGCAGGTAAGTGTGAAAAAGCTCAGGTCCTGGTCAGCGCACAAGAACCCAGCGCTGAAAGTACGGTTAAAAGTTGTCTCAACGGGCGTGGAACAGTTAGTACAGCTGTTTACAGCTCCAGCTCCAAAGCTCCAACTCTGCTAGTGCTGGCATCAGCTCGGGACACGAAGAAACAAGCACCACGGGAGAGAGTCTCACCAGGGGGCACGAGGGGCCAAGTTGCTCGCCGTTAGACGGCCACGGGGGCGGCGCAGGCACCTCCGCGCCCGGATGGGTGCGAGGCAGGCCAACTTTTCGCGAAGCAGCCCACACCCCCCGGGGGCGGCGCGTGCAGGCTGGGCTTTCCAACTCCACGGGACCCGAGAGAGTCTGGATGAGCCAAGCCAGGAACCGAGGACAACCTGCCCTGGACAACCTCTCCCCAGCACTCCCGGCCCACTCCCAGCTCCTGCCCTGGAACTTGGCTCTGAGTGGCAGAGTCCCCAGAGCCCTGAGGCCCAGGCCCCCGCCCAACCGAGCAGGGGAGGGGGCCTCCGAGGCCGCCGCCCCTCCTAGGTGACTCACCTGGTGCCGGTCCTGGGAGTCAGGGGGGAGTGGATCTTCACCCGGTTCCAAGGGCTGCTGTTGAAAGGACGGCTGCCCGAGGTGGCGGGTGATGGGACCCACAGGGTCGAGGCTCCCAGGGCTGCTTAAGGTGCCAGAGGTGCCAGGAGCACCCGGGCCACCGAGGCGGGACTCGGTTCCCCGTTCCCGCCGCAATTCGGACCGCAACTCTAGGTAGCAGCACAGCGTCAGCAGGTGGAGGGCCAGCGAGAGGCCAAAGAAACCCAGGAAGAGCCGGCAGCTGTTCCCTTCGCCCGCCCGAGCAGGGGCCCCGCGACAGCCGCAGCCCTGGCTGCCCCGCTCCCTTGGCGCTGCCGCAGGCAGGGGTTCCCTGCGCTCTACCTCGGGGTAGCCCATGGCCTCCAGAGACAACCACTATCTGAGGCCCGGGAGCCTCTGCCTCTGCCTCAGTCCTTCACGACCCCTGACAGGCGACTACTGTCCTGCCATCGGCTGGGGGCTGCAGGGACCCGTTCCTGGGCGACGGTGGCTGGGCGGGACAGAACAGGGAGCAGCCGCATGTGCAGCTCCACTCCGAGGGGTGGGAAAGGGAGGAGGAGGGGCGGGCGAGAGGGGCGGCGCGGCCCGAGAGGGAACGAGGGAGGAGGTCCTCACCTACCCCGCCCCATGCCTCAAGGGGCGGCCAGGACGCCCAACCACGGGCCCGCCAGGCCCGGCCGCCCCGCCCCCTGCCGTTCCACTCGGGCCTCCAGCCGTGGGGCGGGGCCTGGGGGCGTGGGGGTTCACCTCTGCCTGGCAGCCCCACCCAGCTCTTCCCGCTTGCCCCGTTGCAGTTGGTGAGTGCCGCTGTCGTTCATCTCTGGACTCCACCCCGGTTTAACCCTTCAGCGCCGCTATGGGGGAGGGCAGGAGGGGGAGGCTGAGAAGAATTTGGGAACCTTGGAAAGAACGTGGAGCAAAGAAAAGGAGGCAGAAACTAGCATTAATAGAAATGTTTGCAATTAACTGCAGTTGCTAATAACATCATCCAGTACTTATCTGTTGCTTTCAATCTTCAAAGCGTTTAACAGACGTTAAACTAATTAAAACAGTTCAGGGTTTGGAATGAAACCATGCCTGCTGTGTTTGCAATTCAATGGCTCGCCAGAAGAAAAGGAGACCTAGGAGCCTGGGAGCCAAACAGACTGGGAACCGGGCAGCCTCACTCCTAGAATGAGTCTTGGGGCATAGTCTGAGCATAGAGAGGGTGCCTAGTGCCAAGTAAAACTGAAGTGATGCTGTCCCTTGAAGGCTAAAACCATTTCCTAGGATTTCTTGATATAGTAATTCATTCGACAGATATGCATTGGTCCCTTTCACAGTGCAGAAAGTGCTGTGTGAGAGAACCCGCAGCTAAAAGTTTATCTTCTTCCAGGGCTGCCGAAGTTTTGGAAGAACTTGAGCCTTCTAGGAGCAGGTGGGGAAACTGAGGGTCATAATGAGGTGAATTTTTACAAGGGTGGTCCACAGCATGGCCAGACACTATTGGCATCTGTTCTCACAGGCAACTGTTCTGGCCTCTCCACCCTTCCCATGCTTCCCCTGGAGTACTCCCTGGGGTAAGTTCAACAAGTCAGCCAAATGTTCCAGATGTACACTGCTGCAACTGCAGCATCTTCAACAGCTGCACCAATCAGAAACAGGGTCAGAGGAAAAAAATGGCAACTGTCAGAACAATAGACCTGGAAATGAAGGATGGAAAAGATTAGTTGTCAAGGGTCACAATTGACAAGCGTTAGTAGTCTCAGATTTTAGAGAGCTAAAGAGCTGAAGCAGAGCAAGCATCCACTGTTTTAGCCAGTAGGTATTCTCATTTCCATGTAATGGAGAAATGAATAATTAGCAATTTTATTAACCTGAAGCAAGCATAGTAAAAGCCACTGAGGAGGCTCAGCTATGCACCAGAGCATTTCAGGCTAGGCCTAAGACCTAGGGTGATAAGGAAGAAGAAAAACACAGAAGAATATAGAAAGGAGACAAAAGAGAAACAAAACCAAAAGCATATGGTGGGGAGGTCAGTGCAGAGAGCACAGAGGTCATAAGCTTTAAATATATCAGCCACAGACGTGTTTTCTTTCATAGCCTAGTGAATGGCCTCAGTGCTTCATAAACATCTTTTTGTCCTCTTTTTAACCTTTTCCCCGTGAAACAGGACGTTTGCAAAGGATCTCATCATCACACAGATAAGGAGGAAAAGAAAGGCTTGCAACAGCGGCTCTCAAGATCTACTTGTCCAGACCAGGAATTCTAGATGCTAGGAAAACCGCCAAGCTGATTTACCTTAATTATCACAGCCAGGATTATTGGAAAGAATGCTAGACCAGAAGTCAGGAGGCGTCACTCTAGCACTAGTTTGTTGGGTCACTCTGAGCAGAGGGAGTGGGGAAGCACTAGTGTGGTTTCTCCAACTGGAAAATGAGGAGTTTAAACTGTAACAGCTATTACATTGTGCCTTATCAGTCTCATCACTGGCTGTGTTGACTTTACTTCGCACACTGTTTAAAGAGGCTATCTTTCCTTCCTCCCTCTAAAATGAGAGGGAAATAAATGGGATCCATCTCTTGATGGTGGTGGGAGTGGTCCTGGCAGTAGTGGTGATGTTCAAGAGCTCTTATTGGTCCCTGCTTCCCATGTTCTACCAACTGTTTTTTTAAATATATCACTGTGTGTGTGTGTGTGTGTGTGTGTGTGTGTGTGTGTGTGTAAGAGAGAGAGAGAGAGAGAGATGCGGGGGTGGGGGGAGAATCACATTTCACTGAACACATGAGGAACTCAGAGGACAACTTTGTGGAATTTGTTTTCACTTTCCACCTTTGCATAAGTTCCCAGGATCAAAGTCAGGTCATCAGATTTGTGACTGTAGAGCAGCAAATGCCTTCATCTGATGGACCATCTCATGGTGGCCCTTTCTTTTAATAACTGGACCAAGAAAGATTCCCTTTGCATCATTGCCTCTAGAAGCCTTCAGAACTACATTTGACCTAGGACAACATTTTGATTCCCAAGAGTCAGAAAATAAGACTTCATATACTTTAGAAATATCATAGTGACCCAGGGGCTGAGAGAAATGCATGTGGTTAAAATAATTATCATTCTGTTAATGAAGTGCTCTGTATTGAACCTAGAAATTTCACATTCAGTAGGCAGGCATTCTAACACTGAGCCACAACCCCAGCCCATGAGTTCCCTTTTATTAATATGTTATGTGTGTTTTGATGCTTTGCTTCAGCTTGACTCTCCGTTTCCACAGAGTCCTGTCCCCTACAGCATAAGTCTTAAAACGATAAACCTATGGGCCACAGTCAGGAAACAGATGTGTCATGTTTGGTGTACTATCGGCTAAAACTTGGAATTGAAAAGAAAATTCAATTCTAGCATTTAGAAATCTGGAGTTTTCATGTTTTTAGAATGCTGTTTTCCTACTTTTCTAAATATAAAAACAAACAAACAAAAAGATCACAAAACCTGTTAACATTAGATCCACATTCCCATATGGCTACACCCAGCTAAAACTGCCCCTTTGAGTTAAACAGGAATAATAAAGTTCTATATAACCTTTCCTATCCCCTGGACTCTGGTCTTCAGTTCTGCCCTTGTCAGATACTTGACTTACTTGCATGTGCTGCTTGGCCAGGATATAATCTGCCATCTCAACATTATTAGTTGCTAACCTGCAGAGAAGCTATGCTACCACGTTGCTAAATTCACTCTCTCTTCCCGTACCTCTGCACATCAGCCCAAGCTAGGACTCTTAACCAGAAGTATCCCTCCCCCCCTCAAACCTGATAAATCCTTCAAGAATCAGTGTACATATTCCCTTTACTATGTCCTTATAACTTTCTTTTGTGCTTTCGTTGCAAATTGAACATACATACCTTAATGATATCAAGTATCATGTCATATTTTATTTCATATGGTTTAATTACCATGAAACCGAACTTCTTGGTGATAAAAATCTTCTTCTTCTCAGACCCTAGTATAGCACCAACCATTCAGTTGGCACCAAAATGATGTCAACTGAATGCACATGAAATCATCTACAATGAGCTAGACTACCTAGAATTCCAAAGAAGGGAATTTGTTCACTGGACATCTGTGAATACTGCTTAAAAAACACCCCCTGGGTCCTGAGCTGCATAATATATATGGAAAGATACAAAGAACATAAAACCACATAACAGGGCTAGAGATGTGGCTCAGTAATATAGCACATGCCAAGCATACACAAGGCCTTAGGCGCCATCCTCAGCAATACTGGGAACTGAGCTCAGAGCCTTGTGTATGCTAGGTTAACAGTATGTCACAGAACACGCCACCACCACCACCCAGCCTCACTGGCCTTTCTTTCCCACTGAATTTCATTTTCTGTATTTGTTTCTATTGGCCTAATGTTAAAATAATAGGAATTGACAACCCCTGAACAACAATATTAAATAAGTTGACAAACCAGGTGTGGTGGTACATGTTTGGAGTTCCAGATATGCGGAAGTCTGTAATAGAAGAATCCACTGGAGCACAGGAATTTCAGGAGAACCTAGTCAGACCCACATCTCAAAAAAAAAAAAAACCAAGAAAAAATGTTGACAATCCCTGAATACTCATCAACTAAGTGGAATGGGCTAAGAAATTGGACAGGGACAGATATTAAATGCCATGGTTAACCCACAGGAAAAAAAACTGTCATAGAAATCAGTGGGGTAACCATGGTGCACTTAGTGATTGCAGGTAGCTGAGGGGAATTATGGGCTTTTGGAGATAGATTCTCATTTTAATCTTAGATTATTTACATCTCAGTTATTCGATTTAATACAACTGATTTTTGTTTGTCTTAGACCACCTCAGTTTCCTCATGTGGAAAATAGAGATGACATTATATACTTTTAGAAGAGATGCTTTGTAAGATGGCTGGGCTTAAGTAGGATGTGTGGAAGAGGGAAGGATTTTCCTCTACTCTCTCAGGGCTTTCAGTAATTGAGTCTATTAAATAAACTGACAGCAGGCAGATTAGCAAGAGAAAATGAATGCAAAATGTATGATGTACAAAAAGGCATCGACATGAAAGAAAATGAATGTCAAATATGCAATGAGATTTAGAAATTTATCTGTCCTCATCATAAGGGAGAGGGAGGCAAATGTAGACAACTAAGGAGAGTTTTTTTTTCTTTTCTTTTTTTAAAGAAAAGTGAGTAAGTCCTGAGGGAAAAAAAAGTGGTGACAAAGTTCCTCTGGGTATGATCCTGAACTCCAGGGTCTACTCTAGTGATAACTGTTTAGTCAGCCACAGTTGCTGAGATTACCAGAGAAGTGATTCAAGACAATTAACTTCCTTTTGGAAAACATATCTTTCTGCAGAAAAGTTCAGTGGGAGTCCCTCCCTATAATTGTTCCAAAGTAGCATTTTAGGTACATGACATCCTTCCAAATCTATTTGTCAGTTTCTAGAACTTCAGATCTCTCTCTCTCTCTCTCTCTCTCTCTCTCTCTCTCTCCCTCCCTCCCTCCCTCCCTCCCTCCCAGCCTCCCTCCCTCCCTCTCCCTCTCTTTCTCTCTCACACAGACACACACAGACACACACACAACACACACATAC